TTTTACGACGAGTTAATGAAATAGTAAGAGTAAAATTAGCAAATATTGATAACCTAGAAAACGCTAACTTGGTCATATATTGTGCGGCTCTAACAGTATGTCAGACTCTAAATTTAAAAATTGGAGTCCTAGACCAAATATATACTTGCCGTGATAAACAGATAAGTCCCTGGGAGAAACGTTTAATAACGCAGATAGAAAACTTGAGAAAGAAAGGTGGAATACTCAAAAGTTTCCTATTTGGGCCTAATGAACCAACTGTAAGTAGTACTGTTAGTAGTAGTAGGTAAGACATCAAACTAAGGTACAAAAAATAGCAGCAAGCATTTCTATATTACCAACCAACCCAAACTATAGACCAAAACTAGAAGAACTCTTGGAACAGACTAAACAGGAAATTTCTGGATTAAACAATCGTCTTAAACGCTACCGAAAACGAACGTTAAGATTTAAACAAAAAACAGACAATTTAGTAATTATCAAAAAGCCTTCTATAGAAACCTAGAAGAACAGAAATTTCCAGAAAAAAATACCTACGAAATCACAAATGGAAACTTTTTGGAATGGCATATGGAAAAATGGCTTTTATTAAGTCCCTGGGAGAAACGTTTAATAACGCAGATAGAAAACTTGAGAAAGAAAGCTGGAATACTCAAAAGTTTCCTATTTGGGCCTAATGAACCAACTGTAAGTAGTACTGTTAGTAGTAGTAAGTAAGACATCAAACTAAGGTAGAAAAAATAGCAGCAAGCATCTCTATATCACCAACCAACCCAAACTATAGACCAAAACTAGAAGAACTCTTGGAACAGACTAAACAGAAAATTGCTGGATTAAACAATCGTCTTAAACGCTACCGAAAACGAACGTTAAGATTTAAACAAAACAGACAATTTAGTAATTATCAAAAAGCCTTCTATAGAAACCTAGAAGAACAGAAATTTCCAGAAAAAATACCTACGAAATCACAAATGGAAACTTTTTGGAATGGCATATGGAAAATGGCTTTTATTAAGTCCCTGGGAGAAACGTTTAATAACGCAGATATAAAACTTGAGAAAGAAAGCTGGAATACTCAAAAGTTTCCTATTTGGGCCTAATGAACCAACTGTAAGTAGTACTGTTAGTAGTAGTAAGTAAGACATCAAACTAAGGTACAAAAAATAGCAGCAAGAATCTCTATATCACCAACCAACCCAAACTATAGACCAAAACTAGAAGAACTCTTGGAACAGACTAAACAGGAAATTTCTGGATTAAACAATCGTCTTAAACGCTGTCAAGAAACTCCAGAAATGCTAAAAGTCAATATTAAAGGAGAAAACATCAAAGATACCTTAAACACATTAAAAAATTGGACAGCACCCGGGGTAAACCGGATACAGAATATTTGGTTAAAGAACTTTAAGGGATGTCATAGCACATTAGCTAAACATTTCCAAGAATTTATAGATGATCCGAAGAGTGTGCCAATCCAAGAACAGTTAACCTAATAGGACTGGTCATTTAGCTGAAAGTGTCTGCCAGGTGCAGCAACTCTTCGCTTTGTGACGTCATTGTAGTCCTTGTCATCACAGTGTGTGTATTATTGGTTGCCATATGCAAAACCTTCATTATTTAGTTTATTTATTTAAACATCTTATATGTATGTATGCAGTATAGAAAATTAAATGTATAAATCGTATTAAATATTCGCATAATGCATTTTTAAGAACAGCAGTTCCCAGTATCACCTTTTGCAAGCATTCTTTTAGAGTACTTACATATTTTGCTTTAAAATAATTAATAAACAATATCTAGGCACTTAGTAAGCGCTTAGTCAAAATCCACAACACAAAATGAACGTATTTATAAACTCTGTAGCTCTAAAAACTTTAAAAACACCTTATTCACATTTAAAATCGACAAAATAATTAACTCAAAAGGAAGAAATCTCATACATGCTTCCGAAATCAGGAGACCCAAGCCTACCAGAAAATTATAGACCAATAACGTGCCTGAATCATGTATATAAATTGTTATCATCAATATTATCACAGAAAATTTCACAACATATATATAGCAAAAACCTAATGGCATGGGAACAAAATGGTTGTAAAAATAAAGCAAGGATTTACAAAGAAAATCTCATAATAGATTGTATTGTGTCTAAGCAGGCAACACTTAAGAAGTGAAATCTTTCAATGGCTTGAATAGATTACCGAACGGCTTTTGACTCGGTACCACACTCCTGCCATCCAGCACATAGTGTCAAGCTGCACTCATTTGGCTCCTACAGAATACCTCAACCGACACAATGAAGTAGCCAAAATCATCCACCAAGAACTGGGACTGAAACACAAAATAGTCCAAAATAAAGAGGCATATTATAAATACCAGCCTAAAGCAATAATCCAAAATGATTCTGCTAAGCTTTATTGGGATATGAGCATAATTACGGATCAACTAGTACCCAATAATAGGCCTGATATCATGCTGTTGGAAAAGGGAAATAAAGAACTTACAGAATGTAGAACTTATAGAGTGTCAATTCCTGTAGATGATAACATAGGCAGGGCGTACAAAGAGAAGATGGATAAATATGAGGCTATAAGCGTTGAGTTGAAGAGAGTTTGGAATCTAAAAACCGTAAAAAATTTGCCAATAATTATTACTGCCAACGGTTTAATACATAAAAACTTACCTGATATCCTGAGGCATTTGGGATTACGGAGATCAGTCCTGGTTCTATTGCAAAAAGCTGCAATTCTTGGAACTACAGCAATAATTGTGAGACGGTTTCTATCCAGGTGATGTGGAAATGTGATAGCCTTCATTAAACCTCGGCTAGCGCATATGAAAAACATGTGGAATTAAATAAAAATAAGTGTCTACCCAGGAGATTCTTAGTTCATCTATAATCACATCTCAAAAGCTGCAAGTTTCTTTGTGGACGCTTCTATCAATGTCCAGGACTCGGCACTCGGCACTATACAAGAGTACAGACTAGAGCGCATTTAAATAGTCTTATTCAATCGACATGGTTCGGCACTAGTGCGTCGGATATCTGTAGCTCCAAGAATAAAAAAAACTTGGGAATTTTGTTTAAGTGCAAACCTAAAGTATGTACTAGGTTAAATTTCAGAAAAATATTTTATCTTCTACAGGATGGTTCAAAAAACTGTGAGTGGATCGGGATTATTTCTTTTTAATGGAACACTCTGTAATATAATTACTTCTTTGACTCGATCTTTGGCTTCTTTTCAGAACACTTTACATAATCGTAAGATATGAGTAAATATATTTCAATAGTTCCAAATATATTACTAAATAAATAAAAAATGCAAGGCAACGGCCTAGCTACGTTGAAACACGGTGGATGGACTGGTGACCGGTTCGAAACTCTGTATCGTGCTGTTGTCCAAGGGAAAGGAGTAAAATCTATTGATACACACTGCTCATTCACGCCGGTTCGAGGCCGGATGAGATCGGATATCTCGTGAATAAGAGTCGATTTAGACACTTCCTAAGTCGGTAGGCCATTGACCATGATATGGCCGAGGACCGCGGTTCGGATTCCGCGTAAACAAAGTAGGCCCCGTCCAGATTAGCCCTGGCAGCAAAAAGAAGACGTTAACTGAAATCTCTCTTTTTTTTAAAAAAAATGTATATTTTTAGCCTTTTTTAATTATTAAAAATACTAGAACTGTCCTGAAACCAAAACTATATTAGGTATTATTATTATTTTACTTTAGATGGCCTATACTTAGTTTGCTATAAATATCGTAATCTTACATAATACAGGATGCTCAAAATTTTATACCAAACTTTCTAAAATATAAAATAATTTTTCTTCTTTTTTTAAATGTAACAACCTATATATTATTTCTTTAATAGATGGAGAATTAAAAAAATTAACTTTTTTTGTATTTAGAGTATTTAAATTTTTTTAACTGTTTTGTAGATGTACGCGGTTTTATATTTCATATGGCATTTTCCACAGTAAATTTTTATCAAAGCCAACCAATGATTTTTCTCCTCGTATTTTGCCGTTGAAAGAGCCATATGAACTAATCCGCCAGTATATGCGAAACCGTTAAAAAATGTACATATTTTAATTCTCCATCTAATTCAAAAAAATAATATACACTGTGTTCAAAAAACAAAGAAAAATTATTTTATATTTTAGAAAGTTTGGCGTAGAATTTTGAACACCCTGTATGATTTAAGAATACGATATGTATAGCAAAGTAAGTATATACTATCTAAAGTAAATACCTAATACTATAGTTTTGATTTCAGGACGGTTCTTGTATTTGTAATATTTTTTTTTAATAAAGGCTGAAAATAGGTATATATTTTTAATTTATATATTAACATATCTGAAACTATCGAAATATATTTACTCATATTCTTAGGATTAAGTAAAGTGATCTGAAAGGAAGCCAAAATTGCAATAATATACAGGGTTTTCAATTTCCATTTAAAAAAAAGCATCTCGATCCACTCACACTTTTTTTTGTGCCACTCTGTAGATGTTAAAATATTTTCCTATAATATAAACATTGCCTATAATATAAACAGTTAGGTTTGCACTTAAATAAAATTCTCAATTTTTTTTTTATTTTTGGAGCTACAGATTAACGTCGCACTATTGCCGGAGACCCTGTATCTGTTATAATCCGTTATAAAAATGCCATCCTACCATTGAAAACGTAGCTGTCAATCGTTTTCATCAGCAGGGTACAACAGCACACGGCAGCCTATGCAACAGCAAACGTTCCTGTAAAATAAAAGCGAAGAGAAGCAAATCGAGCTGCGTTTGAAGTATCGTCCGCTGCCGTAGTCCGGCGAGGCGGCAGGTGAGGCGACAGGACAGATACGACATAGGGGTGAGTCTGAGGGGTGGACGAGAAGGCGCACGCGCAACCCTATGACGTTCGCGCCCCCGACTCGCACCGCCGTTGTTCCGCATCAACCCCACTTCGCTGCAAACTGTTGAACAAACCGTGCGTGTTTGATCCGCCACGTCTTTAATTCCTGCTGCCTCGTAGTAAATACTCCCCCATAGAGAGCACATAAGATGCAATTTAGACGTTGAATCGACATACTTTGGTTTAAATTAAGACTTGCCATCGTTGGTAAGTTTCCGTCGGTTTCGTTCGGACATTTACATCGACGAGAGGACATTAAAGGACATCGGTCTCGTCGAAGTGCGCGACGCGTCGATATCGCGACGACGATGTGATATGTTTTGTATGTGCAGCTTTGCCGAGTGAAGTCGAATTCGCCGATATTTTTCGACATGGAGGGATATTATCCTAGCAACCAACGGCCTCCACCGTTGCCTCGCAGGGTTCGAAACGAATATGCAGAGCCCTTCATTCACGACGCCAGGTAAAGGCGAATGGATGAACGCATTTTGCATGACCTGCTGATAACAAAATATTTTTTTTCAAACGTCACAAAAGTATTAATTTTTGAGATGTTATTGACAATATAAATATTATTATATTATTAATATTTATATTATTTTAGCATTGTCTTAGTGTAGCTGAGTTTTTTTGTTATTTTATGTTATGTACTATTGATGTTGTATTGCTCTAGTTTTTGTGTTTAGTTTTAATATTGTATTTTTACTGTTCTTTGATATTGGTAATAATAATATTCTTTGATATTGATATTGGTAAATAATACACTTTTTCGTTTAAGCCCAAAAGTACAAAAATATATTATTAAACGCCAGTTTAATAATATATTCTAATGTCATAGTTGTCAAATTTAACGTGTATCCATTGTTGCTCAATATATAATTACTTACAAGGTATTACTCTTTTATTATTTGCGACTTTTATAATGATTTAAAATATTATTTGTAAAATAACATCTTATATTCGAAGTAAAAATGTAGTTTTTGTGCCTAGCCGATAACGTCTCGCCTGTCAAACGTACAGTCTCGCCACAAAAATATCATTTTTACTCCTAATAAAATACAATATCCTATTTTTATAAATTTTAGTAATATGATGAGACATATAAAAACATAATATGCTTGCTTCATACTTCGTCCGAAATAACTGAATAATGATTATATGCATCTTCTAATATAGTACTACTCTCGGTAGTTTCTAGTCTTCTATAGTATCTAGTAAGATTTAGGTATGTATAAAATTCTTGAGAAGTTAATATAAAAAAAATATTTCGAAGCCAAAATGTATTCTATATTATTAATAAATATATTTTTATATTATCGAATTTAATTTCTATTGTCAATGCTAATTATTTTCCAAAAATTTTGTGTATTCCATAATTCAATCAAAACAATTCCTAATTTTTTTTGACAATTTTGTTGATTTCTTTTTACATCTACAGTATTCTAATATTTTGTCACAACTTTTCAAGTTTTTTTTTTCAAGTCAAAAATTTTTGATATCAAAACACATTTTCAAGTATAAGTAGTGCTTCAAAAAGATCTCTTTTTTGTTGAAAATACACAAAATTAAATGCATACCCCTATAAGTTCATCTCTCTATACTACATCGCCTACTAATTCTCCAATATATATTATAAATAATTATCACAACTTCAACTATACCGGGTGTTTTTCAAAAGTGGCCAACACCTATAATTTTTTTTTCACATGAAAAAACAAGATTTTACTCAAAAGTGATTTTAACACATCCATAGCACTCTATATTGAAATTAAAAACACTATTTTTTAAGTGATGAACTAAAAAAATATCGAAGGTACCATTTAAAAATTAAGAGTTTTAGTCATTTAACAGGAAGGACAGAAAGTGATTGAAACTAATTGACTACGTCAATCATTCCTGATTTATTCCGTACAAAAAAATGAAAAAATTAAAAAGTTAAAGAGGTAAGGCACTTCTGAGAAACACCTGGTATGTATAACCAGCCATTTTTCATGATATTATTTAAAATTCTGAAGTAATTGCTGTTGCGTTTTTATTTTTTTAATGAAATATATTCCTTTTAGGTATTAAAAATTATAACTGGAATTGATTATGTCATCGATACATTCAAATTTTGATACTATTGAATGTATACAAAGTTTTGAGTGGGGGATATGAGTTGTTAATTGGCCATGGGATGTGAGTTGTTATAATCAATAGTTTATGAAAATGACATTAGATATGAATGCTTTTATTGAAGTTTTTATCGTTTAAATATAATTTTCGTACCGAATATAATTGCTTCTTATTAATATTATTTTTAAGTATCAGTTTTGATGGTAGGTCGGTATGATTTTGAACCGATTTTTGGAAATTCATCCCCTAAGGGGGTGAAATTAGGAATGAAAGTTTGCACATAAACTTATTAAAATAGGTTTAGAAGTACTAAATTTTGCACAAAGGTTAATAGATGCCGTAATTGAGTACTTAGAAGGTATTTTTGGAAATTCACCGTCTAAGGGTGAAATGGGGGCTAAATTTTGTATATAAAAATTAAAATCTCTCCTAAGAGTATGAAATTTTGCACAGAGGTCCCTTAAGTGGCTTAATTGTATTTTTTTTTTTTATTTGGCGTATTTGTTTTAATAAGAAGCAATTTTCGATAATTCATCCCCTAAGAGGGTAACACTAGGGGTTGAATTTTGTATAAAGAATTTTAAAGCTGTCTTAAGTATATGAATTTTGCACAGAGGTATCTTAATTGACGAAACTAAATACGCTGAAGGTATTTTTGGAAATTCATCCATAAAGAGAATTAAATTAGCAGTGGATTATGTGCGTTTTTATAAATCTTTTCTAGTAGTATATAATTGTATACAAAGGTTCATGCATTGACAAAAGAAAGCACTAAGAAGCGATTTTTGTAATTTCGTCTTCCAAGGGGATGAAATTAGACCTGAAAGTTTGTACAAAAATTTGTTAAAATTGGTTCTAGAAATATGAAATTTTGCACAAAGGTTTTTTAAGTGACGTAGTACTAAAACGCGATTTTCGGAAATTTGTCTTTTAAGGGGGTGATTAGACGTGAAGATTTGAAGCTGAAGAAAATTTGTTTAAATCGCCTAGGAGTATGAAATTTTGCACAAAAGTAATTTGAATGATAAAAGCGAGTACTTAAAAGCGATTTTTCCAAATTCAATTCACTCCCTAAGAGGGTGAAATTAGGGCGTGATATTTTGTACAAAAATTATTAAACTCAAGAGTAAAGGAATATGGAATTTTGTAAAAAGGTTCTTTAGGTGACTGGGTATTATCATATAGTGGGTTTTTGAAAATTTATCCCCTCAGATGGTGATATTAGAACTGAAGGTATCTAAAAAATACTTAACATCTGCTGTAGAAGTATAAAATTTTAAACAAAGTTTCATTAAATGAAGTAATTGCACTTTGAGAAAGCCATTTTGGGAAATTTATGCCCTAAGGTTTTATAACAATTACAAAACTTTAGGGCATAATTTTTTTACGCCTAATTACTAGCCGTAAAAGTTTTATATCATTACAACTGGCTTCTGAAGCACAAATGACAGCGATCTTAATTTCCAAGCTATCTCCTACTTCACAAACGAACAGAAAGGGCGAAAAAAAATAGATTAAGTATATTATATATTTTTTTCTTTTTATTCTTGGGTTTAAATCGTTGGGGTTGCAAAGCTGTTACTAGATTTTGGTCATTATTTTATTCTTATGACGACGTTTCGACACTATATGTTTTTTTAAATCTCTTGAACGTAGATTCCTACAGAATTAACAATTGTTAAAACTGGACAAAACACAATAACACATATTAAAACTATTATTTTAATGGTTTATGGACATCACACTTTAGTATAGAGCACGTATCTGCTCTATACTAATAGATACGTGCTCTATACTAAAGTGTGATGTCCATAAACATTTAAAATAATAGTTTTAACATGTGTTATTGTGTTTTGTCTAGTTTTAACAAATTTTAATTCTGTAGGAATCTACGTTCAAGAGACTTGAAAAAGACATATACTGTCGAAACGTCGTCATAAAAATAAAATAATGACCAAAATCTAGTAACATCTTTGTAACCCCAACGATCTAAAGCCAAGAATAAAAAGAAAAAAAATATATAGTATACCAGGTCAAGGAAATGAAAAAAAAAGTATATTATATATATATATATATATATATATATATATATATATATATATATATATATATATATATATATATATATATATATATATATATATTGCTAGCAATCCGCCTGCAATGCGGACGATTTGCGAAATAAATGAGAGATTCAAGTTGCCATTTTATAGCTATGGGGATGTTGCTAACTACGGCTAACAATATCTTTGTGAAAGAGGAATATACCGGGCTCTGGTTCGTGTAATTAGTATCAAACATAATTTTCGTCGCGCAGGGGACAATCGTTAAAATAAATGGTGCAATATGCAGCTTTTCAGCTCTCGATGTACTAGTTTTAAATTACAGTCTAATCAGATTTATTCTCTCTTCTATATATAACTTCTATTGGAATAAAGATCATTATTTCATCAAAATATTTTGTATTTTAATAGTGCATTGTTTTACTAGGAGTAAAAATGAGACTAGTCGTGGCGAGGCTATACAGGGTCCGGCAATAGTGCGTCGGGCATCTGTAGCTCCTAGAATAAAAAACTTGAGAATTTTGTTTAAGTGCATACCTGAAGTTTTAGTGCAAACCTAAGGTATGTACCAGGATGTATTTCAGGAAAATATTTTAACTTCTATAGGGTGGCTCAAATAAGTGTGGGCGGACCTGGATGATTTTTTTTAAATGGAACACCCTGTATATTATTGCATTTTTGGCTTCCTTTCATATCACTTTACATAACCCTAAGATATAAATAAATATATTTCCATAGTTTCAGAGATATTAAAAAATAAATCAAAAATATATATTTTTCAGCCTTTCTTAAAAAAATTATTAAAAATACAAGAACTGTTCTGAAATCAAAACGATATTAAGTATTTACTTTAGATGGTCTGTTCTTACTTTGCTATAAATATGGTAATCGTAATTCATACAGGATGTTCAATATTCTACGCCAAACTTTCTAAAATATAAAATATTTTTTCTTTGTTTTTTTTAAATGGAACACCCTGTATATTATTTTTTTATTAGATGGAGAGTTTAAAAATGATCATTTTTTGTATTTAGAGTATTTCAAAATTTTTAACGGTTTTACAGATAACCGCAGTATTATTTCATATGGCGCTTTCAATGCTAAAATACAAGAGAAAAATTATTGGGTGGCTTTGATAAAAATTTGCCGTGGAAAATGGCCATATGAAACATAAAACCGCAAATATCTGCGAAACCGTTAAAAATTTTGAAATACTCTAAATACAAAAAATGTTCATTTTTTAATTCTCCGTCTATTGAAAAAATAATATACATGGTGTTCCATT